CCCTTTCCAGCGCACAGACATTCACTACCTGTCTATACCGGTGCTCATCGTATTCACTGCCTAACAGTATGTTATTTCTGACGCTATTATTGAAACTCCAGGCCTCCTGAGAGGCATAGCTAATGGTGCCCACCGTTTGTATACTTCCCTCGAGCACCGGTAGCTCATTAAGTATAGACATGATTAGTGAACTCTATAAAAATTATTAAAATTATTAATATAAAAATGTTTACTATATTTCATACTTCACTTCATTTGGCGGATATATTATTGACAATAACTTTTGGTTTTGCATTTGTTTTGGGGGAGGCAGCTAAATCACCAAAACCTATAGTGTTATATGTTTTAGGCTCCATTTCCCCCAATTCTAAGAATGTCTGAAAATATTTTATATATTCTAATTAATTAATATAAGTATAACCGAGATATATTCTTGTAATTAATTAAATATTTGCAAATACTGTACTAATATTGATTGTATTAAGCGTGTTCATTGATTATCTAATTAGCATCATATAGTATCATACAGTATACAATAGTATCTACAAGTATTCTGTGGTTTCTATTTAAGTATTTAAAGTACAAAACTTAAAATCTCGATTCATTTGAGCAGTTTTATTGCTTATGAATGAATACCTGGATGCGAGAGCACGACACCGTTAGTTCAGCCCATTGGGCGATGGCGTAGGGAAACAGTGTCATCGAAGTAGTCTTAAGAGTGTTGAACAGAGCCATTGTAATGAACACCGCTTTTGCGGTCAATAGGTTCCCGGTTAACACGTATGCCATAAAACATGCAAACAGTATTATCCGGGGGGCCGCCAAATATACAGACAAATTGAAAGCATTCAGAAAAAGGGCCCTTTGTATGCCAAGGACCTCATTCCTATTTATAGTAAATATCCTTGGTTATTCATTTATAATTCTTATTTATCATTGAGTTTTCAACTTTCCACCATATTGAAAAGTGTATCGCATTGTTAAAAACTATAACCGGTATAATTTTTGCATACAAGTTTTAAAAGGTTATTAATTATTACTATAGTATAACATCATCAAGGACATACAATCTAGCGGTGGCCACCAGTTTAGCAAAAGACTGCTCCCAGGCATACATTTTGATGATCGCATCCCCGATATAATCTCATTCATGAGCCGCAGTCGACTGTCCGTTAACTGAGCGGTCATTAGCCTATGATTTGAAGACAAAAACAACTAATTATTAGACCAAACATATTGACCGCCATTTGTGTCACAAATTCCACTCAAACCTGACTTTCGAGAAAAGTTTGCCCATAAATGCCTGAAACTGTATAAACAGCAATAAAAGGGCCAAACCTACGAAGCAGTAGTAACCGATCTCCGTATATATGATATATACGGCGATCCCAGTCTGTATGGGCGCTACGAGTAAATAGCAGACATTCGTTGAAAACTGTATTTAAAAATAACAAATTATTAATAAAATCCATTTACTACTACAGTACAGTAGCCTCAAATATAGCCCATACCTCATCAAATCGACATCATTGGACATTAGGTTCACAATGTGGCCCACCGTGGTTTTGGCCAGAGATGCCCGGCTCAGTTTAAGCGACTAATTACAAAAGGCATGTAAATAGACCCTTGACCAATTTTATAAAATTTTATACCTTTTTATAAATAAGAGTAGAGGAAGCGGCGCGTAATCTCATACCCATTCGCATGACTATAATGGTGGCCGAATGGTGTAGCAATATGAACAAGGCCGTACAAAAACATACTCCCCCGGCGGCCATGCATGCTTGCTTAAAGGTACGATTTTCGACCTTGTTAAAATGGTCTATCACTACGCCTAGTAGCAGGGGCTGACATATACGACNTGCTTGAAGGTGCGATTTTCGACCTTGTTAAAATGGTCTATCACTACGCCTAGTAGCAGGGGCTGACATATACGACAAACGCATTCCTACCAACAAAAGGTTTTAACATTTTATTTAATGAAATTTTTCATGTTGAGCATCCAGATGGGTTTTAATTATCTGAAATTATACGCTTACCCCCAATATTAATAAAGTGGCGGTATATAGTATTTCCCGAATGCCATAACCAATGCCCTCCAGAATTTGGATGACTTTTTTTGACGTTCATTATTCCAGTGCCTGATATGTGGTCACAATTTAGTATACCTCTAATCAGCCCTCCCTCCCATCCCGGCTCTATATGAATGACTGATTGACTAGACTCCATGAGCCCATACCTACTTTTGCAGCTCCTGGACAATCGGTTGTGACTCGTCGTGTCGGGAGCACCGGAACAGGTCGTCTACATTGAGACCATTGTTTCGCCAACCCGTCATAAACACCGGGAATATCCATTTGTTTGTTTGATCGTAATGTTTGAAATAATTATTATTTAGGAAATCTTTTTTGGTTAATCAGATAATTTGTTTTGAAATTATAAAGTTTTTATAATGCTAAGAATCATTTTGGTACCAAAATTAACTTGTATATTATGCTCTATGTAACTTTTATTGTTTCATGTTTGTGTGTTTTTTCTATCTACCGTATATACTGTACTTTATTTAAAATGTAAATTACTTTGTGGACAACCACTTGCATTGTTCAATTATTTATTTGATAATAAAAGTAATTTTATATTATCTACACCATATAATCTACTTGATAGACTCAAGTAATAAAATTGAATAAACTCTAAACCATTTGAAATATTTGTTGACAATTTTATGTAATTAATAATATTTATTAGGAATTACTTTATGTAGTTTTAACTTTTATTGAGCACCGGTATGCCAACAGCGTGTATAACTGTAAACAGGTGCTTGACAAACTCACGAGTCAACACAAAACATTTAATTTAAAACATTTAAAAACATTTAAATATTGAACAAGGCAACATTTGAGTGATCACTGCATCCATAGATCTATCATTATGTTCACTAATTAGTGTGTATTTAGTGAATATTATTATCAGTATATTAATTTCATTTTGTAAATTATTAAATTTTTAAAATTTAAATAGCATAAACTAATTCACATAATTAAAATTAGATACAATTGTCTATTTACCTAAAATAAGACCAAGACAATTTAACACTTACGTGAGAAATATATTTTGGAAAATATTGGTATTATCCCACCGAGACTTCCCCAATATTTTCGCACCCTCCTCCATTATTAATTTTTAAATTATTTATAAATATGTTTATTCTGAGATTAAAATAAATGACTTGAGATTTATAATTTAGATTATTTTTTAATCATTTTATAACTAATTTTCAATAAACTCAATTGACAACACATTTAGTAATATATAATTGAATACCATTATGAAATGATATACCTTAAATCATTTAATAACTATTAAATCTAATAAAATTTTAAGAAAACTTATGGACTATAAATTGTTGAAGTGTTCCTAGAAATATACTTTTCAATATACTATTATAATGTATGCGATATCTGGCCAACTTTAAACTGTGTTTTTTATTTGACAACATAAATATGTTTTTGATATCAAATGACGGTTTAATATAAACACATTTGTAATGACAACCAAATTAAACACGTCTGGATGGCACGACTTCATTACCGTTACTTTAATATATAATATATATATTGTCGGGTTAACGGGCCACTCAGTCTGACCACCGGTTCCCGATTACCGATAATAAAGCTTGCTACTTTAACTATTACGTATAATTGAGTTTATCGTGTACAATTCAATAAAATAATGCACAAATTATTTAAAAAGGCA